CTCATGTCTAATGGCAAGAACCAGTGAGGATAAATACAGGAACTATCTCTTGTTGCCGGATAGCTTAAAATTCAGGAAAGTTGCAGACATCTCCTAAAGCAACCCATCCTAGCAATAGTGAATAATGGTAAGTTAGGGCCAGGAAAACAAATCATAGATTTCCCTGGTTGTTACCAATCTGCTCTTTTTTTGAAGTTCAAATCAAAAGAATCAGTTTCATTCCCTGGGCCTGCCAGACCAAGCTGGAGAAAGTGGCTGCAAGTCTCTGCTATTCTCTGACATAATGGTGCTCAGCCTTTTGGTTCCATGAGCCAGAGGAGTGGTGTGGGGCTGGTGCATGGGCCTGATCAAGCTCTCTGTGCCAGGATTAAGCCCCAGAGGCCTGGAATTGGATCATGTACTGGGATTGGGCCCTGAGGGGCCAGTGCTGCTCCTGCATGCCCAAAATTGGACCCTGGGGCCTGGTGACACCCCTGGCTAGCCCTGTACACTGAGATTGGGTGCCTGATCCAGCACACAGGGCCAAGGGCTTCCCTTGGGTCTGCAAGTTTGGCAGCAGGGGAGTGGTGCCACTGGTCCTCCACTGCCAAATTTCTGGACCCGTGGGGATCCCTGCAGATTGTAATACATGCAGCAGTAGGCTACATTTGGCCAGTGTGCAAGGGGTTGAGCACCTTTGCAGTAATGCTTTTCTTTTATAGCCATCCCTTTGCTGGCCAACTAACATACTATATTTTACAGAAGTATTACCAATTAACCAACAGAGGCCTCTGTAATCAAGATGAAGCCAGAAGCCAACTACCAAACGCACTACCAAAATAACTGGCTATGAAGGATCCACTCTCCTTACTGATTCCTGATTCCCGATTATTTGCAGCATCCTATTATTTCCCATGGGGAAGCGTTTAAGACATTTCAGTAAGCAGCACCAAGAAATACTTTAATTATATATATAAAAAAATTAGTATTTTATAGAGAAAACCTTTTAACTGCACTTCAGAAGCTAGAATAGCAATCAGTATATTTTGTTTTAAAGTATAGCATTATTTTTATACCCACAACAAAACATGGACCTGCAGAAGTTTTCAAGCAATCTTCTAACAGCTTCATACGAGTCTTCTGGAGCTCAGGACTGTCCCATTCTTCTGTTTCTACTCCCCAGTACAAGTCTATGACCTGGAAATCAATGTATAAAATATTGTTAGTGTATTCTTTACTGCATTTTCCATCTGTATAACATGATGCACAAAAAGTCAAGAGATTTCTTTTTCTCTTTGACAGTTAAATTGAATTGCATTACAAAGGGAATGGGTTCTATTCAGAGCTGATGGAAACCTCCTGTGTGATCTTTGGCAAGTCAATTTATCTCTGCTTCATAACCCAGGGTTTTCTCCTTTTAAACTTTAAACTCTTTGGTATAAGACCGTCTCTTACTATCTGTTTGTACAGCTCTGAGCATAGTGGGGTCCTGACTTCATGTAAGGCTTTCAGGTGCTCCTGTAATGCAAATAAAGACATAAAGGAAAGACTATGGGTAAAACCTCGGCCTCAATGAAACCAATGGGAATTTTGCCACCGACTTCGATAGGGCCAGGATTTTACCCTTCTGCCTTTCAGGTCAACAGATCAATCTACCCTGTGTTATAACATAGAACAAAAGGTAGAACAGGGTTATATATTGTAATGCCACTCTTCTAATGTTACTATTCTGTTATTCCTTTACCTTTTGCTGCTTTGTAAGCAAAGACTTTATGAATATATAAAGGCAGATGTCTTGCTGTTCAGACTTTCATTTGTAGCTACAACTTCAGTTTTACAATGTTAATAAGATGCAAGAAAATGCCTGTAAGAAACTGGCATAAGGCTGCTAAATTTATTTAAAGAGATTAAGTGATAAAGTGTGGTTTCACTACATATTTTAACTTGAAAGGATGGAAGTGTCTTTATTATAGAAAATTTCTCTTAAAGGAACCCAATCCAAATGTCCGTATTATTTAAAATAAAATAATGGTGCATCATACTGAGATTTTCTTATGCCACTGTAAATTAACACAAAAATCTATTATCAATTATAAACAAGAAGCATCTAGTTTTTATAATAGTACCTGGAGTGATGGATTTGGTGCCAAATTTAAAAAAAATAAAAACAAACATTGGGGCATGCCCTTAACTGTTATTTTTATATGCATTCTATGCATTGTTGGCAGTACTTGGAGGTCATGATCAAGTAGGAAGTGTATGGCTAGATTTTGTCTGAACATCTATGATGTTCATTGACTTGTGTGGCAAGCCATATGGGGAAAGGCTGAGGGATCTGGGACTCTTCAGCCTGAAAAAAGAAGGCTGAGAGGGGACTTGGTAGCAGCTTACTGCTACATTAAGGGCTCAGTGAGCAACGCTTCACCAGGGCACCCAAGGGGAAAACCAAGAGTAATGGTCACAAACTCCTGGAAGACTTGTTTCAGGCTCAACATTAGGAAAAACTACTTCACAACTAGGGTGTCTGGACTGCGGAATAAGCTCTCTCCGGAGGTGGTGCAATCGCCTACCCTGGAAATCTTCAAGAGGAGACTGGATGGTCACTTTGCTGGGGTCACCTGACCCCAGACGTCTTTCCTGCTTGGTGCAGGGGGCTGGACCCAATGATATTCCAAGGTCCTGTCCAGGCTTACTATCTATGAATCTATGGAAAACACACTGT